CACCAGCACCCAACGTGCTCAATTGAATTGAGCTTGCCTCTCTGATGCGATAATGCGACTTCAGCCTAAGCCCTTGCTCATCCCTTGTTCTGTCTTCGAGAGCCTGGCTTGCCATTTTGACCTGAGGGATGTGCTGTTGAAATTTTTCCTGCAAGCAAAGCTCGCACTCTCAAAAGAACCTGGGCAAGGGCTGCCGGAGACTCTGAAGCCGTAGCCCCACGATGCCCCAATCAGGCAGGGGCACCACAGCTCCACAAACGTATCAGCCCATTTGGTCAAGCCCGTGAGCCCGGCAAGACCCTGTCCTGAAGCCCGTTCTGGCCACCTACTTGGAGGTTCATGGGTAGTTAGAAGTAGGGTTGCCAAGTGGGCCAACTCTACTTAGAACCGTATCTAGGGCACTTATCACCCTACTTATGACTACCCATGAACCTTCACCTACTACCCAGCAGAAGACACCGGACACCGCACTCTGATTCGGAGGCCAAGCAGCTTGTCATCCGCGCTGCTCGACTTGGCCTGCAGCATTCGGGTTCCATCGGAAAGTCACAAGAGCACACTGACAACTAAAACCCTTAAACTTCATCAAGCGAAACCGCAGATAACATAACAAAAACAAAATCAAAATAATGATAGTCATAATAATGATGATGAAATTCCTTAACGTGCCACTCTGAGGCACGATGGGCCAAACATGGGGTCTAAACGCAGCAAGATGTGGCACAGTGGTGTCTGGGGTCCTACAGCATCAATGCAGAAGCAACCATAGGACGATGCGCAAGCATCCCCTTCCACTCAATTGCACCAGAGAAGAATCAGAAGAGGAAGGCTACGAGGCCCACCTTTCTTTTGGAACAATCTTGCCAGAGCTCGGCTGTCATGGAAAAATATAATGCTACTGGTAATAACAACAATAACATTCAGAGACTAGTCGTCACACGAATAAAACCCTAAACCCTAAACCATAAACCCTAAACCCTAAACCCTTTTGCAACCGGGCTCATTGCCCTAAACCCTAAACCCTAAACCCTAAACCCTAAACCCTAAACCCTAAACCCTAAACCCTAAACCCTAAACCCAAAAACACACAGAATCATTTCAGCCGTGGCAGGCCAGATCTTCGAGGCGCACGCACTGTGGGTGACCAGTATTCTACTAATTGCTTAAGAGCCCCGAAAAAACAAACATATTCTTCCATATTAAGGGTAGTATAGGGATGATTATTTCCTTCTTTTGGGGTTCTTACACAAAAAAGTAGGTATTATGGGACCATGCACAACCTCTAGAGCATTGTCAACATCTGACAATGCAAGTCCAAACCAAAAACAGACTTGGGAGGTTCCCCCTTATACTAACAGTCCTTCATAGGGATTAGAGTACCCCTTTTTTTCAATCCTACTAAGGACTGTTAGTATAAGGGGGAACATCCCAAGCGCAGACCTGAAACTTGGGGCAAGACGGTTTCAGGCAGCGCAAGGTGACAACATAACAAGGGGGAGAGCACTTGCCTTTGGAATTGGGGCTTCCGCTTTGAAACCTGTCACGATGGTACCTAAACCCTGAAGTCAGAAACCTTAAATTCTCCTAGTTCAGAAGCCCTCTACCCTCTCTTCTCTCTCTCTCTCTCTCCCCCACGCATCTTCTCTCTCTCTGTCTCTCTTTCTCTCTCTCTCTCTCTCTTTCTCTGTCTGTCTTTCTCTCTCTCTCTCTCTCTTTCTCTCTCTCTCTCTCTCTCTCTCTCTGTCTTTCTCCCAGGCATTCGAAACGCTCCACCCTAAACCCTGAAACCCTAAACCCTGAACCGCAAGCCCTTTTGAACCCGTGCTATGCAACTGCCTAAACCCCAAACCCTCACTCGACGGTGGCCTCAAAAGCCGACACATGCGACAGCGCATCGGCCACGCGGCGGGTGAAGTCCAGAAGCATCTGCCTCCCACTGGGCGCAGTGTAAAGCGACAGATACTTATCTATAATATATATATATATATATGTAACAATAAATACACAATTGAAACAGAACTTTCGGAACAATGCAATGTAACTGATAGAAATTAGAAATAACTGATTTCAGGTAAAAATGAATGCCAGCACCTCCCTCCGTCTCCCTCTCCTGTCCACTTCTCCAATCATTCCTGCTTTCGCACTCTCCATGACTGTGTTCCTCTGGTCCTGTCCGCAGAGCCAGTCAGGCACGGTCAGGTGGTGGTCAGCGCTTCTGGAAGAGCTGTGTTTTGGCCGCGTTCATGGTACGAGTCGAGTGCGATTTGCCATGTGGCTGTCGGATCTCTGCGCACATGCTTTAGGCGTCCATATTGGGGCTCTGAGCTAGGGTCTACTTCTCGCACAAAATGCATGAACTTGATCTATAACATCTCCACCCCAACTCTCCGCGATGATCGGCAGGTATTCCAGCCAAAATGCAAAACCCGAAGTCTTTCAGCACCTGTGGCACTCCACAAGTGGTGATCTTACCGACCTTACTTTTTGAGGGTTTAGGGTTTAGGCCGCGGTGCCGACGGCCTAATCTTTAGTGCGTACTCATTTCACTTCCAGAAGGGCTGTGTTGGCATTTCAGCAGCAGTGCTGTGGCGACTGGCCCGGGCCACCACAGGAACATTCAGAAGAGAAGTTGTTCCCCAAACTGCCAACACTATGGGGTTAAACTAGACTGAAGGAGAGCTAGATTGAGGTGCACGATCGACGCCCGCGTAACACGAAACGCACGCGGGAACACCGCTTTTGAATGTCGGGGTTCGCCACATGATGCAAATCTGCCGTCTCTTTGGGACGCTTAGGTTCGCCAAATGCGAAACAGTCGTCGCTTTTGGCGTTTTTGGACGACATCCGGAGCTTCAGTGGCTCGAAGGACAACTTTGGTAGTACCAAGGTAGTACGTGGAGGAAGTCAGCTCCAGCGAAGGGAAAGTCTACTTTGGTAGTACAAAAGTAGCACTCGGAGGACGTCTGGAGCACCCAGTGGCTCCAAGTCGCTCTTTCAGGGCAGTCCTTGGAGTGTTCTTGGTGAGCTCTTGCGATGCTCTTGAGGTATTTTTCTTCGAGCGCCAATGGAATGCCGTCCGGAGCGCTTGGCGCGCTCTTGGTGCTCTCATTGCATTTCCACATGGCCTCTACTGTTGGGAGTCTACGCTGACGAAAGCTTACTAGTTACTAGTCGCTATTGTCAAACATTTTTGTTGCCTGCCTACAAAAAATGCCCATGTCATCTCCATGGGCAACTCCGAGTCTCGGATTGCGGTTCGATCGGGCTTACGTCAATGTTCATGGCATGGCACCTTCACTCCAGCTGGAAGGATTGATTGGCGGTTCATGGGCTATCATAAGGAGAGCTAGTGTAACTAGACTTATTAACCAATTTCTTAGGGTGCTTATAACACCACGTGTAACTACCCATGAACCAAGTCGGAGCCAGAAGCGGTGGTGGTGTAGTTAACCGTGTAGTTACAAAGGGGTTTAGGTTTAGGGTTAAGGGTTTAGGGCTTAGGGCGAGAGATCACGAGAGTGTGAGAGAACGCGTGACGCGCCATGCGCTGGGTGCATCTTGTTTGTTGTTTCCTGATGACTCATGAAAGTGAAGGATGCCAGTGCTACTTGGAGGTTCACGAGTAGTTATATAGGGTTATAAGCACCCTAAGGTTAGAAGCAGAGCTACCCTGCTTATAACCCCACTTATAACTACCCATGAACCCTCAAGTAGCTGGAGTGTAAGGTGTGCGAGCTTCTCAGAATCTGCCCTCGCCTCTTCTCATCCTCGGCGACCATCTGTAGATTGGAGCCCATAGCCCCACAGGAAGAGATCAAGTGAAAGTCCTTCTTTGCAAACAAGAATCAATGCGAGTGGTTCTACAAGCGACACGCCATCTTCTTCGTTAGGGTTTGGGTTTCGGGTTCAGGGTTAGTATTGCTTCAGGAGGCATACAGATGCCGGAAGCGAAGTAAAGTGATGTGGTTCCAGGGTGATGCTCACAGGGCGGATGCCGACTGCAACTTCAACTACCGAATTGTCTGACAACCTAGCAGCTTCAAAAAGAAGAGCACCTCTACGCTTGCAGTAGCCTAACCCTAAACCCTCAACCTGGTCCTTCTTGAGATCAGTCAGACGTTTCACCTCGAAGAGGCACCAAATCCTGCATCATGATCAGCGGCATCACCGTCTGAGAAGGGCAGTCGCTGCGATCGTGCTTGCGCTTGTGGTGCTTGGAGTTGTTGTAGTATTGGTGAATGCAATGGTTGTGGTTGTGGTGAATTTGGGGCTGGAGGCTGGAAGGGGAGAGGGATACCATGAGGGCTGGAGGCGGGGGTTGGGGGACTACCAAGCACATGAAACTGACATGCTTCCGACTCCTCGAGAAGGGAGATACATCCTCATCAACCACCATGACCTTGGGCGCAGGTCACCGCAGGTGTTTGTACGACATGTCAGCAGCACACACTGCAGCTGGATGCTGCAGCACGATCCGATCGATGATTTGCTGTAAGGTTGACGCAAGCACCGCCAAGCATCATTTTAGGGTTTAGGGTTTAGGGTTTAGGGCATCCCATGCAGTTCAACGGGAGATCGGTCCGAGGCGACAAAGACTATTGGGAGCTCTAGCTTTGGCAACGAGTCATCCACAGGGATAGTGCACTTCCCCAGCTGCGGCCCCAAGGCTTTTTATTGCAAGCGACCAGCGTTTTCTGTACAATGGTGAAGAAGGGGAAAGCTCACCCCCTTGACACCATCTGGAAAATGGAATCTTCGTGCATCGCGACAGGGCGCCCATTTGATGCCAATATGCCACACCCACATACAGACACATGCACACAGATTCTTTGTGCTTGCACGTGTTTGCAATGCAGAGTCTAGCTGAATGTGGCATATTGTGGCTGAGACGAGCTGTTGAGATGCACCTATCCGGCGACCCCACGTCACCTGGATCAGGCGGCACATGCCTGCACTATACACGAACGGCCATGCCCAAGTTCATGCACATGTTCTCCCACTCAGAGTCGGGAAAGAGCGATGAGGATCACGCCCGGCAGGCGAATCAGGACGCCTGTGAGTGCGAACCCGCGACTCTTGGAGCTCCCGAGCTCGCCAAAGAAGCAGAAGCCGATTAAGAGAGCCAGGATGCTGGGCAAACCTGCACCATTGATGGGGTGCTATTTTAAAAAAGATGGCCATCTTTGTCTCTTATTGGGTTTTAAAAGTATTCATAAAAAAAGAAGGTATAAAAAACGATGTTCGACAATGACCCCCAAGGAGCTGCTGATGATGGGATAGGTCACCGAGAAGCCCAGGTCGCCGTTGGCCTGGAACCACGCCACCGTGCCGATGGCCCAGATGATGCCCGAGAGCATGGCTGGGAGCACCAGCTTCAGGGGCACGAAGCTCCTCCTCTACCAGTTGCTTAAGAACCCCCCCCCCCCCCCCCAAAAAAAAAAAAAACACACATATATATATATATATATATATTCTTCCTTATAAGGGTAATCTTATCGGGAGTGTTATCTTTCATGTTTTGGGGGGTCTTAAGCAAAGTAGTAGTCCTCCGTCGTACGATGACGTAGATGAGCAGGGCCACGGCTGCCGAGACGAAGATCCCCAGAAAGTGGCTGAAGACGTAGTCCAGAGCGAAAGGGCTGTGGTCGGGACCGAACTTCCCCTGCGTGAGCTCCTGGGGAAGGTCGAAGATCGTGCCAAGGAGGACGCCGACGAGCATAGCCAAAGCTGAGCCCACCACCAATCTCATGTGGCTTTGGGTCTCCGAGTGTTCTGGGAGAGGCTGCTTCTCCTCGTCCACCTTGCCTTGGTAGCCCAGTAACCATAGTTGGGTTGGTTGCTTTATAAGGGAACCCTAAACCCTAAACCCTAAACCCTAAACCCTAAACCCTAAACCCTAAACCCTAAACCCTATAAACCCTAAACCCTAAACCCTAAACCCTAAACCCTAACATTGTAAACCCTAAACCCTGAACCCTAAACAAAGGGAAATGGGAACCACTGGGCTACCAAGTTGCCCTCCTCCGGCGCCTCGACGTCTGCGGAGGCCTCCTTCGGCTTCTTGTCAAAGCGTGCGGCCAGGTACCTGCACTTTAGGGTTTAGGGTTTAGGGTATAGGGTTTAGGGTTTAGGGTTTAGGGTTTAGGGTTTAGGGTTTAGGGTTTAGGGTTTAGGGTGATGACTTTTTGTTCCTTGCCTTGTTGGGTTTAAGTATTCAGATAAATGCACAGATGGTTTTCAACAATGGCCCAGGTACATGAAGACCAATGAGACGCAGGCCAGGGCCAAGCCGACGTAGTTGAAGAGAGGCTTCTGCGAGATCTCCTTCCATACTCCCCTTTTAGAACCTTGATAAAGGTAATATGTTTAATATCATCTTGGGTTTTATACAAACAAAAACATATAAAATCTTATTTTTCATATCCTCTTGGGTTTGATTATTATAAACAAAAACTAACAAAATACTTCCCAAGGGGGATGTGGCCTTGTCCACCCCGAAGAGGCCAAAGCGCCCCGTGACCCAGCCCATGAGCATGTTGCCTAGGCTGCCCAGTAACCTAGGACCCTTTTTTTGCTATATTATATCTAAAGTATAGTATGATAGTATAATATATCTAAGCTGCCCAGTAGCCTAGGATTACAAAGGGCTGCTCTTTTCTTTGCTTAAGGGGGTTTAGAAGGGAGCCTAAACACCCAAGAAAAAGGAATAAGGGTACTACTGGGCATCCGAGTTGCTGAGATCCCAGATCGTCAGACCTAGGCCCAGGCCAATCAGCTGGATCACAAGCGGACACAGCAGGTTTGCGAGCGTGAAGATGACCCCACCCACCGCAGCCAGGGGCTCGAAGACTAACGGCTCGTGCTGCATGAAACAACCTAGGCCAGGGAGTAACCTAGGAATGAAAAGGGTACCCTTTTTTGGTTTTAAGGGGATTATGAGGGGAACCCTAAAAAAAGGAAAAAAGGGCCTAGCCCCGGTCCTAGCAACCCGTGAGCACGCCCACGATCAAGATCCCCAATGACATGGCGAAGGTGAAGAAGACCCCGTCGCTCGTGTCATACTTCTTCACGGGCAAGTAGTTCACCGCGTAGGCGACGCTGGCGATCAAGCAGCAGGCATAGCCCAAGGCAAGCTGCTCCGTCATAGCTCTGGAAAAGGGAAGCCCTAACTTCTTTTGAGTTTTCTTCGTGGATCTTGAGATCCGAGCTGTCGCGACAGCAGAGCAGCGGAGAGTGAGCTGTGAAGCGTTTCTTAAGTCGACGCTGAACGCCCAAGAATAGATTGCAAGCTCCGAGATCCTTTCCTGCCCCTTTTTGCAGCAACCCGTGTGACTGCTTCTCGTAAGCCCTAAACCCTAAACCCTACACCCTAAACCCTAAACCCTAAACCCTTGAAGCAAAAAGCCGCAAACCCAGTGAACCCAACAAGCCCTGTTGCGACCGGCCGGGACCGCAGCTGTCCGCACGCACCGTACTCATGACAGAGCACCTGGACCCTCTTTTTGTCCCCCAACCCTAAACCCTAAACCCTAAACCCAAAATCCGCCCTAAACCCTAGACTCGAGACTTGACCCTGACAGCCTAAACCCGAAAAAAACCAACAACTCCGAAACCCCAATCCCGAAACTCTAGGCTCTCTCTTCCAGGCTACAGCCCCGCAGCCGCTCTGCATCAGCGCAGCGTTGAAAGGGCCCTCCTGGTGTGAGGATTCTTGGGCCTTCCGCGCTCACTCTCGTACAAAGCAGGCAAGGCCCATAGGTCAGTCAGACAATGTCCTATTTGCGAGCAGGCCACCACACAGCACAGTTACAACAAACCCCTATTTTGGGGGGGGGGAAGGGGGGTGGGGAGGGCTTCGGGTTTGGGAATGTGGGGCGTGCTCTAAAATGGGGTTCCTCTGTAGGGTTCCCCCTGCAACACGGAGCCTGATAGGACCTTACGGGGACCTGCTGTGGAGGCATGGTGTTTTGGCAACTGAGCAGTTCGGTTTTAGCGTCTAGGCCCGGGGGCTTGGGGATGCTAAGCCCTAAACCCTAAAGCCCACACCCGAACTTGGGGGCTCAGGGTTTAGGAACCAGAGGTCGAAGTTTGGGTTCCTCTTGACTTCCGAGCCTATGAATTCACAGACTTGATACCTTTGTTTGCCATCTTTTGGGTAAACCCTAAACCCTAAACCCTAAAAAACCTATAAACCCTCTAAACCCTAAACCTTGGGCATTGGTGGGTTGGATGCCTTTCGCAAACCCTACAATCGTACCATTGAAAGTTATTCTTGCTTGTGACACCGTATCGATCAACTTAATCCCGACACCCTACACCGCACCCTACACCCTACACCCTACACCCTAAACCCTAAACCCTAAACCCTAAACCCTAAACCCTAAACCCTAAACCCTAAACCCTAAACCCTAAACCCTAAACCCTAAACCCTAAACCCTAAACCCTAAACCCTAAACCCTGCCGACTTTCTTCTGTCTTGGTCCTCCGGGGAGCCCCCGACCTCTTCGCCTCCAAGCGAGGGCTGAGGAAAGCGCGTCGTCCCCCCTAAACCCTAAACCCTAAACCCTAAACCCTAAACCCTAAACCCTAAACCCTAAACCCTAAACCCGTAGCCACATTGCAATTTCCATGGGTTGAGGGGTTTAGGCGGTTTAGGGGTTTAGGGCTGGTGAAGGCATAGTTTCTGCGACAGGGTTCAACCCGGCCTTCTTTTATACTAAACCTCAGACCCTGCATGTACACAGAAACTGACGCAACGCCGAAGCCCGAAGAGCCCCAAACGGATCTCCCAAACTCCCTTTGGCCACTGGAGTCATCTCCCAAACTCCCTTTTTTTGAGCCCAGCCTCCTGAAGTCAGCTGTCCCAAGCTCCCTAAACCCTAAACCCTAAACCCTAAACCCTAAACCCTAAACCCTAAACCCTAAACCCTAAACCCTATTTAGTACTGCGTAGGAGGTCGCAGGGCTCATACGGGGGGTCAAAAAGCGATCGGATCTCGAAGTTGAGTTGCTTGCGGCCTGGACTCAAGGAGTCTTGTGGAGTAGGGCCCTACGAGTAGAGTTCAATATTCTTAGGGGCCAATGTGAAAGGTTTACGAAAATGGGGTGCCCCTAATATAGACCCCCAAATAGTAGGGTTCCCTTAGAATAAGAACTCTAATAAGGTATCCTACCATTTGGGAGGTGATGTTGGACGCCAGTACTCTGGGAAAATGATTGCCCTTCGGCTCTCCGTCGCCGTGTGTCGGAAGGCTGGGGTGAAGCGAGTTGGCAGGGACTCAAGCAACGCAAGAACTTTTGGCACAGGGTGGACTGTTGCCGGATGATTATGGCCTCCTGTACATGCCATCGGCCAATCGATATGTGCCAGCAGGCAAAACTACCTGCACGAAGCGACTGCACAAGTTGCTCGTGCATTTGGCCCTCTGTGGATGTGTGCGCCAGCTGGTGCGGTGCCATCACCAACCCAAGCCTATCCCTGCACGGCCTCACTTGGCCGAATTTCCCCATGCTGGTAGCCACGCGGCTCCGCTTTCGGCTTGCCGGTGTACGCGATGCACCAGTCGGTGCGCGGGCATAGACCGCGGCCATCGCAGCAAATGTCCGAAGCCAGCTGACCTGCACTAACGACGACACCTATACGTGCGAAGGGGAACAGTCAAGGGAATGGTACCATTTCCCATATGCAACCAGCCAATTCTTTACGTGTAAGCCTTGCACCCACGCTGACGTCGATAAGGCTGTTTCGGCACATACTACAGATGACTACACCAGTTAGTTGGGAACTTATATCTTTGTTGAACACACACACACATACATATATATATATATATATATTTCTGCACACAGCACGAGTACGTAGTCCCAGCCCAGCAAGGAACCTGCAACCATCTGCGTGTCATACTGAGTGCCATTGTCATCAACAAGCACAGGCACACTGAGCGTTCCAGCAGGGATGCAGTCCGTGTCCACGCAAGGCCAAGGCCCTGGTGGCTTTTCGTCGTCGAACAGCCCACGGTACACGCCCACATCCCCTTGCCACGCGCCATCTTTCTTGAACACGGAGAAGACCGAAACCCAGCCACTCAGGTACGAAGGCCCACTTCCTTTGCTCCCCTTAGAACCTTACTAAAAAACAATATTCTTAATATCCTCTTGGGCGAAATATAAACAAGAATTTGAAAAAATCCCAAGAAATAAAACTAGCTTCCACCACCTAAGTGGCAGCAAACCTTGTCCTTGGTAGGCCCAGTAACCATCTGAGAATAAGGGCACCCTTTTTTTGGGGGGTTGGTTACTTTATAAGGGAACCTGGCTAAACCCTAAACCCTAAACCCTGAACCCTAAACCCTAAACCCAAAACCCTAAACCCCCCCCGCCCCAAAAAGGCTAAACGGTACCACTGGGCTCCCACGTGTCCCAGAAGTCCAGGTCCGCCTTCCCGGACGCCGAGGCCACGAACTGGTCCAGAACCGGGGCCAACATCCTCGGATGGCCCTTATAAAAGCTCGTAGGGTTTAGGGTTTAGGGTTTAGGGTTTGGGGTTTGGGGTTTGGGGTTTGGGGTTTGGGGTTTGGGGTTTGGGGTTTGGGGTTTGGGGTTTGGGGTTTGGGGTTTGGGGTTTGGGGTTTGGGATTTGGGGTTTGGGGTTTGGGGTTTAGGATTCCTACATCTAGTCCTCTTAAACCCAATAAGGGAAATCTAAACACCTGAAGTAAGATTCCTAAATTTAGTCCTCTTAAACCCAATAAGGGAAATAAAAACACCTGAAAGACATATTCCTACGTAGAGTCCTCTTAACCCCAATAAAGGGAACTATATAAAACATGCACCCAGGGCCTCTTCCGAGCATCGCAACCCACTGGCTCATCCGCCGGTCTTCCAGGTCGAAGTCAGGCAAGCGGTCCACCTTCTGCCGAAGCTGCACCTTGGTAGCCCAGTAACCATATACAGTTAGTATAGCTATCATAGTTGTTATGGTTATTGCTATAGCTATTGTTATAGTATATGGGAACCTAAGAATGTTAGGCGGAATCATTGAACTTGAAGCTGCTTTTTTCATGGTAGCCCAGTAACCATATTATGATAAGGGCACCCTTTTTTGGGTTGGTTGCTTTATCAGGGAACCTTGAACCCAAAAAAGGGAAAAAAGGGGCACCACTGGGCCACCAAGGCACCCAGTCCTCGACAGTGCCTAGCAGGGTCACCTTAGGGATGCCACACATCAGGCAGCAGACGTACTCGAAGTAGTTCTGCAGAGTGGACATGACGGAGACCGCGGCCACCACGCGATCATTCACCGTGGTCGTGGTGAAGGCTGGAATCAGCCAGGCTACCATCCCAGGGTCCTCTTTTAGTTTGGGGGAATTAAAGGTTGACCTTTTGGGATGATGAGGGGATTATACTACCCCAAAAAGGTTAAAGGGGAATTCCAGGTTCACCTTTGGGACTATAAGGGGATTATACTGCCCCGAGAAGGTTGAAGGTTACCTGCTCTACTACTAGGTCCTTGATGTTCTTCACAATGTTTTCGTCCACCATGCGTTCTGCGAATTTGGCGTAGTCGGCAGTGAAGAGCGTGCCCCCCATGGACACCACGAGGGTCATCTTGCCCTCGAAGTTGACGAACCTGTCACGCAAAGCCTCTGCATGGGCATTGACGTAGAAGCTGAACTGCGTCAGAATCGCCTGCCACACGTCATCCGGCCGGAGGACGAGCTCGTGGTGTTGATTATAGGCCTTGGCTGCACTTAGGAGGGTAGCTATAAATTAAATTCTTAGCTGCCTTATTAAGAAGCCCAATAAACCCAAAAAGGCCAAAGGTCTAAAGAAATAGTGAAGTACCACAAAGGGGCCTCCATGATGGTGGAGACCAAGCCCCATGGTGAAGCACGCGCCTTCTCCTCCCGCCCGGACTGCTGGATGATGATGGGAACCTCTGACTTCTTCTTAGGCGCGTCGCGTGCCCGTGGGTCCGAGACTAGGCCAAAGGCTGCCTTGAAGCTCTTGTTGTCCGTGAAGAGAGAGGGCACCGGCACCACTGACTTGCCATCCACCTCCTCCGCCTTCTTCTGCTTGCTGCTCGCTGAAAAGGACACTCCGAACGGCATGCTGCAATGCTGAGGCAAGTCGTAGGGAAGCAAAAGGCGGCAAAGCAGCTTGAGCCTTGTATGTTTCACTAAGACGCAAGGGCTCTGTAACAGGGCTGCTCTGACCTGGCTTGCAGATACGATGGCCATCCGGGGGGTTACGAGAACAGGGCGCAGGCGATCCTACTACTTCGGGGTCTGAATTGGGGGTAAACCCTAAACCCTAAACCCTGTTATCGTAAACCCCCGTCTGTACATGAAGCCAGGCCAGGGATCTCCGCCTGGCTGATGCTGATTCAAGGCCAGCAGGCACACCCAGTAGACCTAGGCGCACACATAGCGTATACTGGGGCCTCAACGGGGTTTAGGGTTTAGGGTTTAGGGTTTAGGGTTTAGGGTTTAGGGTTTAGGGTTTAGGGAGAGCAGCTTTAGTCGGGCCCAAGTATGTGCTGTATTGGTAAAGGTATCTGGGCAGTGGCCTTTGGGATACCTGATTCGGCGGTGGAATGTGTGTGTGTGTGTGTGTGTGTCTGCATGCGAGCTGGTAGGCAAGTACATGTATGCGAAGTAGAAACGCAAATATACCAGAAAGTTGTACAGAATGAACAAACAGCAATCGTGAAAGCCCCTGAAATGGGTTGATTGGTAAAGGAAGTCTGTTGGGGTTGTAGCTGTCTGTCAAGAAAACTTGGCGTTGAGACCTTCATGAAAATGCTGCTTGCCCAGTATAAGGGTCACCAAACACCGCATAACCTCAAAGCAGAAAATGATGAGGGAATTAGAAGATATTTAACCTTAAACCCTAAACCCTAACCCTAAACCCTAAACCCTAAAAACAAGCATGAGCTTGCCCTTGTTATTATCATCTTCTGATTCTATCACTTCTTCTTGGACGAAGCAACTCACAGAATTTCTCACGGAGATAGCCAGCTCACAAACTCCGTCATGTCGGGTACAAGTATTTAAACACACGAAGACATACACTGAGCAAAATAGTTGCTGAGTACCCTGGCCCAAAAAAGGTTAATCTTTCAAGTATTGTAGGATTGTACATACCCCAGAAGGTTAGACGTTATCTGCTCAGCTACTAAGGAAAGTAAGGGCCTGTATTTTAGATGAACCCTCACAGGTTCCCAAAGGGCCCAAGAACCCCTCTCTAGTACTTCAAGGACTTGAAGGTTCATGGGTAGCTATAAGTAGGGTTATAAGTACCCTAAACAAGGCCATACCCATCTATAACTTTAGTTACCCTACTACTTATATCCCCACTTAGAACTGCCAATGAACCCCCAAGTAGAACTAAACCCTAAACCCTAAACCCTAAACCCTAAACCCTAAACCCTAAACCCTAAACCCCTAAACCCCTAAACCCCTAAACCCTAAACCCCTAAACCCCTAAACCCCTAAACCCCTAAACCCCTAAACCCCTAAACCCCTAAACCCCTAAACCCCAAACCCCAAACCCCAAACCCCAAACCCTAAACCCTGACCACAACGGGGTTGTGGGGCCGCAGAGCCGCATCCCTTACATGCGCATTGAGCTCTAGGCCATGTCCGGCGGCTCCTTCCTGAGGTTTGCGTTAGGGTTTCAGGTTAGGGTTTAGGGTTTAGGGTTTAGGGTTTAGGGTTTAGAAGACCCCAGTGATTCTGGGCTGCGAGATTGGTGGGAAAGGTGCTGGCGCCTGCAAATGCAAGAGGAAATTCGAGTATGTCGCACGCTCTTCAAGACTGAGAATTGAGGCTTTATCGGGCTTGGGCCTGGATTCCTACCGTATTTTGGACAGCGGAACACAGCCCACCCTGTCTCGACAAAACGTCAAATATCCTGAGACCTAAAGCCCTAAACCAAATAAAGGCTTCATGGGTTTCTCACAAGCCTGCACCCCAAACCCCAAACCCCTAACCCTAAACCCTGACCCCAAACTCCAAACCCCAAACCCGCCTAAATCCTAAACCCTAAATCCTAAACCCTCACCCTAAATCCAAAAAACCCTAAGCCAGTTGCCAGGGGCAGGGCTGGGTGGGGTTGAGGGTATAGGTACAGTTAAGAGAGGCCTTAGACTCAACAAAATAAGCTGTACAGTGTTTGGATTCGACTGGGTTTAGGGTCTAGGGTTTCGGGATTTAGGCTTTAGGGTTCCGAATCATGAGCTGCGAGGTTTTTGAGGGGGGCCTTTGGGCTCAAATGGTTCACATTACACTCCCACCCTAAACCCTCAAAACCCACTAAACCCTAAACCCTAGCTTCACAGGAAGGAGGAGGCTGCAGCTAAGTGGCCCGATTTGCCAGTGGACTTGCCTCAGATGTTCGGACTGGCAGCGCTGCAAGCAAGGTTCAGTGGCTTTGAAGGTTGGAGATTTGGTTTAGGGCTTAATTAGGGTTTAGGGTTTAGGGTTGAGTTGAGGGTCTAGGGTTTAGGGTTTCACCCTAAACACTGAACTCTACGGGTTTAGGGCTTGTAGACTAGCCGATGTCTGGGGAGCCAGAGACTCCGAAGCCTCTTCATCTTCCCCGAATGTCCCAGCACGGGGCGAGCGTTTAGCCAGGAGGAGGTGTAGGATTCGGCGGGTGGCGCTTTTGTGAAAGGAAAGTTCCTCAAGTGGCACATGTACAAGCAGAGAAGCAAGGTCTGCTTGTTCTGAGGGTTGCAGCTTTGCTGTCACAGTTTCGGGCTCTATGTATTACCCACTTTACCTACGGCATCGACCATATGGGAAGATTCAAGTGGTGCCGAAAAATGCGGGTTTGGGTTGCAGGTCGCAGGGATGTACATCCTCAAGGCCGTAACGGCAAGAGAGGGCCAAGCGGCTGGGACCAAAGATCGAGAGCCGACCAGGTGTCCTGCAGCACGTACTCTCCCAATTTTCAAAGCCCTAAACTCCAGAACCCTCAAGGCCCTCTTCCCCTAAAAGCCCCAACCCTAAACAATTTCCTCTCGTAAAGGACATGCAGGGTTCGGGTTTCTAGGGTTTAGCTTAGGCTAGCTAGAGAGTCGAAGCATGAGCACCAAAGTATCGCCCGACACCGACCTCCACAGCCCTCCACTTCCTGAACTGACATCTTGAACCCATGCACCTGGAACCTGGAACCTGCTAAGCCCAAAACCCCTCAAACCTTAAACCCGCCAGAAATAAACACACCCCCTAAACTGAACTCCTGCAACCTAAACCCTAAACCCTCATCCCCAAAACCCTGAACCCCGATCTCCACCTCAAGCCCTCAGAAGAGGTCCTGGAAACCCTAAACCCTAAACCCTAAACCCTAAACCCTAAACCCTAAACCCTAAACGAAGAGGTCCTGGAAGGGATGGCCCCAAAAGTGCGACACGAAGTAGTCAACAGCAAGACCGCCCTTGGCAGGGCTCAGGGTGCTTAGAAGTACGTTGGGTTTAGGGTTTAGGGTTTAGGTTTTAGGGTTTAGGGTGGGTCCAAGCACCCAAAATATGTAGAGGCGTCTCAGCGGAAACTCCCCTTTGTGGGAAAGATGGATCATGGCAGCGTTAAAACTAGCTAGTAGGGATGCTCAGGTATAGTTCAGACTGCCCAGCATCCAGCATTGCTACGCGTTGCGGCCAGATCATCAGGAGGAGAAAACACCCACCAATCGTCTGCTTCCAGCAGCTCGCTGGAGATACTTGACACCTAATTCACCTAATCCTCAATCCCAGCTTCCCCTTCTTTTTCAATGTGCTGTCAGCCTGTAGTGGGCGGACCCGGACTCAGCATCGTCGCAGCTGTGATGCGAGCCGCAGATGCCGATCCGCATACCGCTCTGGGAGCTGGCCATGCTGGCTGCCTTTTAAACCCTAAACCCTAAACCCTAAACCCTAAACCCTAAAGCCTAAAGCCTAAACCCTAAACCCAAGCTGATCTGACGGGCAATTCAGCTCCGTCTCGCCTCTAGGCCCAACGGCCGGGCTCGATGTCCCTCTGCAAAGTTGCGGGACCATCATCCCGGTCCTTGCAGAGCTGCTGGGTTGTCATCCCTATTGCCCTACAGTACTGCAGGTCTCTGGGCAGAAGAAGACCCGATTCTCCAGTCTGTAGTCAAATCCTGAGAGGTTCCGTCGCTCCACAGCGAGGAAGCTGCTGTGGCTGACAAGCGATGTCGGTAGTTGGGGATCTTTTAGGGTTTAGGGTTTAGGGTTTAGGTTAGGTCTACAAGGGAGCATTCCTTTCAGCCTCCATCAAGACGTGCCATGGGGGAACGACAGGAACGAAGACCTCCTCGACCTCGTCCGTCGGGATCAGCCCCAGTTCCATGGCGTTTGGGTTTAGGCTAGGTCTACAAGGGAGCATTCCTTTCAGCCTCCATCAAGACGTGTTGACCATGGGGGCACGACAGGAACGAAGACCTCCTCGACCTCGTCCGTCGGGATCAGCCCCAGTTCCATGGCGCTTAGGGTTTAGGGTTTAGGGTTTAGGGTTTAGGGTTTAGGGTTTAGGGTTTAGCCACCCAGAGACACACAAAGCCGATCACGGTGGACTACGAAAGAAAAGTAAGACGAGCGGGGTTCTTGTTGGTCAGCGTAGTGACCGTTCAACTGAAGCAGCTTGCCTCATGCGCGCTTGGGCCACAATAGGGTTTAGGGTCCAGGGTTTCGGGCTCATGAACCCGACAATAGGGTTTATTTAGGGTCCAGGGTTTAGGGCTTATGAACCCGAGGCCTTCCAGAAACCGGCATTGAAATCTCAAGACGAGCAGCGGAATTCATCAGCTCTGAGTAGGAGGACTCGTGGAGGGCGTCGGGCATGCCGGCGGACCTATGCTCGGGGTTTACGATGCGAGGCCTGAGGCTTGCGGTTTAGGGTTTAGGGTTTAGGGTTTAGGGTTTAGGGTTTAGGGTTTAGGGTTTAGGGTTTAGGGTTTAGGGTTTAGGGTTAGGGTTTAGGGTTTAGGGTTTAGGGTTACAGAACCATGCCCGACTATGTGGCGGTGCCTTTTCCATGCTAGTGCCGGAACCTCAACGACCACCGACCCTCAGCAAGGAGGTCAGCTCTACACCATGCTCTTTGCTCCATCATGGGCTATTGCCCCTTGATTTTGGGAGACCCTGTGCCCTAAGTGACTGACTTCTCGAAACCATACACGAACTCGGCTCAAGAGCTTGCTGAAACACAAGGCCCGTGCACTTGAGAAGGTTCATGGGCATGTAGAGCAATAGGCAAACTGCAAAAAAAAAAAAAAACTAATTACAGTCCGTACTTAAGTATCTGGTTAGTCCGTTTGAAGTCAGCCGCACGGCCCGTTTAATTGCACCCAACGAGTGTTCCATGATCCTTCAGGTCCCGATGCCTGCGGAGAGCGGGGGGCAAGGGCTCCGCCACGCTCGGCGACGTGCCTCTACAGGGAGGGTTTTGGATGGCTTGCAGGATCTTGGAGGCTAGTGCATCGCCCTCTCTGGGTGCTTCTGATGTACGAGCATCCGAGGAAACGTGCAGGTCTCATGATGTCTAGGGTTTAGGGTTTTGGCCCCCACCAGGATGGGGCTCTTAGGCCTTGCAATTAGCATAATCCACCCTTTTCAGGGGCTTTTTATGGTGTTTATAGGGGTATATCAGCCCATCCTGGCTTAAAAGACCCCGTAAAGGAATGGGACAAGGAAACGGATCCCCACGGCCGAAGCCTCGACTAGCTCGAGCTTTCAAACCCTACTGGTATGCCATAGCCTAACAGACTGATGCAGGGGCCTGAATAATTAGAATCGGGTTTTGGGGGGATATATTATCGTACAATTACAGAGGGACCATAAGGGAATACCACTAGCAATTATTCCGACCCCTATATCGTAACCCTAAACCCTAAACTCCCATATTATTATACCATATTATTAAACTATTTTGCTGCTGGTAGAGCCGTGCAGAAAACCAGCCTGGCATGATCACCCAGCGGTTCAAGGCGTACAAGTTCGTGTCCATCGCCTCGGGGGCCGAACCCTAAACCCTCAACCCTCAACCCTCAACCCTAAACCCTAAACCCATCTACGGAGTTGCGGTGCCTTCGGAGCTCTGAACTTAAGTGACCTGGTGAGCTCAGGATTTATCGGCTTGGGGGGTGGGGGATTACCCTAGATGCCCAGTAGACGAAAGGGGTATAAGGAGGAAGAACCCTTAAACTTAATAACTCTATAACCCCACAAAAACCTTACATAGTCCCTATACATACTTAAGCAGCCCTTAAGTAACCCATGCGGTCCCTCCGATAGACTGTGGGCCCTATGAACCAATAAGCTGTGTACACCCTGAACTGAGCCCTACTAGCACACAACTTGTTAAACCCTAATGGCAAACCCTAGACCGGCCACTCCCTGAAACTATCCAGGGTCCTGACCCATGGCGCATAATGGTGAATTCAAGAATAAAGGGTTGTGGCTTTCACTGCAGATCGAAGGTCTAAGTTGTCAGCATCGGCGATGGAATGGAAATGCATCCAAGGCACGAAGCAGCTCCCTGCATCAATAGCCTTCCTGATTGGGTTACACACACAGTGCCTGGCAACATTTTGCCGCAACAGGGTGGAGAGGCTAGAAAGGATAACTGCGCCCTTAAACACTTCAGGGGCACATGGTGACTTGAATACATTTAAAGCAGAAGTGGAACATCCGCAGGCAAGGCGCTTGTTCTCTGCATTGAAGGCGTCGCACTTGGACTTCAGCCACCCGCTAGAAAGAAAAGTGTGCTGGAGGTCGTTCAGCTGCTGCATGCGGACACCTGTACCCAAAGAGCCCAATGCCTCTTAAATGAGGAATATACCTTAACTCATATAAGGATCCTTAATATGACGTAAGGTATATTCCTTATTTAAGGGGTATTGGTCTCTCTCGGCATAGGTCAGATGGTTTCGGCAGAAGATATCTCTGGGCGGGCATGGCAACTAGACCTTGAAACAAGCAATCAACACGACACAGAGACAAACTAAAAGCGCAGTCTCGAATCAATAGTGCCCGCGCTGAATGCTGAGTAAACTTTCGTGATGCAGATTGCATTTCGGGATATGAACTGTCCCCCGAGAGTGGTGGGGGAAAGAGCTCGACGCAAAATTTGGTCAATCACCTTGTAGCGCCCTCTGGGCCTCAAAATACATAAGCAAGCACATATAAATGAATTATAGATACATACATAGTGGCATAGATTTTAACTTGTTTCTAACTATAAACATTCCAGTAGCACCGTATACGTGTATGTATACGTACGCACAGTATGAGCTGCTGACGAAATTCAACGTTCGCTCGCACTTGTACAACATAGATCGTGGGTCCCTTTCGATTCTCGAGAATATGCACAACTACAAATTGTGGCAAAACCGAAATGCGAACAACACAAGACACGACATAGATAGATAGATAGATAGACAGACAGACAGATAGATTGATAGATTGATAGATTGATAGATTGATAGATTGATAGATAGATAGATAGATACGTATATATATATATATTATATTTGTTGTATATAGTCTCTTTATGTCTACCGACTTTATCCCCAAAACAAGAATCGGATTCAATTGGGGGCAGCCTCGCCGTGCGTATGGCACAGTCCGCGGCCGCCTCATCGACGTGGGGGCGCTCCTTCTTTTCCTGGCACAGCTTCCGTGTGTTGTTTTTGTTGCCGCAGGGGAGAGAAGAGGGTTCGGAGGGTTTAGGTTTTTTAGGGGCTGTTCCTGTCGTTAAAAACACAGCGGGTTTAGGGTTTAGGGTTTAGGGTTTAGGGTTTAGAGTTTAGCGTTTAGGATTTAGGTTTAGAGTGCTTGGAAATGCCAAGCGTGGCTGGACATATGTGCAGGAAGGGCAAAGCGAACAACTCCTTCACATTCAACAAAACCTAAACCCTAAACCCTAAACCCTAAACCCTAAACTTAAAACCTAAGCCCTACTTACACCCTGTATCCTAGGATGGCCATGAAAACCCTCGGAGAAAAAATCCTGCAGATGATCCCGCCCGGTCTCCTGGGCCTGAATCCCCATAAGGGAAGATATGTCATGCCTCGAGGGCCTGCCTAGCATCCTACTAGCCCTAAACCCTAAACCCTAAACCCTAAACCCTAAACCCTAAACCCTAAACCCTAAACCCAAACCCTAAACCCTAAACCCTAAACCCTAAACAGCGTTGAGCCTACTATGCAGTCCGAGCTTCTGGTCCAGCAAGTTGCGGAAAGCTGTGCGGTCCAGAGTCTGACAGTCTCCCATCCAGTCCCTGCCCCAGCGTGCAGGGCTTGTAGGGTTTAGGGTTTAGGGTTTAGGATTTATGGTTTAGGGTTTAGGGTTCAGGGTTTAGGGTTAGGGGATCAGCCCCCCCACATGTGTGCGTGTGTGCGCGCGCTCGCCTCAATGTCGTACACCAAACATCTGTCGCTTTAGGGTTCTCCAAGTCATGGCCAGCCGTTCCCAAACTTTGACGGGATGCACACGTAGCTTTAGGATTGAGGTTTTCGAGTGCCCTTCTTCCGCTTGCTCGTGGCAGCACAAAGCCCACAGCCCAGCAGGCCCTCGGGTCCGAGTTATTGACACCGTTTAGGGTTTAGGGTTTAGGTTGGTTGGTTGGTTGGTAGGTAGACACATGCGTGTCAGTCCAGGGCAGGGTTTAGGGTTTAGGGTTTTGGGTTTTGGGTTTAGGGTGGTGCAACACTCCGCCCACACTCCAAGACACTGGAGCCTGGGCCTTGTGTGCTCTGGCTTCCCAGGCCCGTCTCATGAATACGCCATCATTCGTACGACCCCTACTTGGAGGTTCATAGGTAGTTGTAAGTAGGGTCATTAATGGTGCAACTATCTTATAACCTTGTTTGAGAACTCTACTTATAACTATCCATGAACCTTCAAGTATAGGTTCCTTGTAGTTCAGGCCAGGCCTGAGGTAGTCCAGGCTCGGAAACAAGCCAAAGGCATTCAGTGCGAACTTCACTTCGTGCAGGTCGAGCTCCCCAGATGCGTCGGTGTCGCAGCATTCGAAGACCTTGAAATGGCATGGGCGACATCATCTATTGCTATGTTAGAGAATATGAACCCTTTCTACTAGTTTAAAGACATCGTTTCTGCATTATTACACAATGATATTATTGTCTTACTATGGTATTTTATTCTCTTATTCGATGAGCGTATGATTACATCTTTTACTTGAAATGGGGCCTTCGGGGTGCACTGCTGGACCCTGCTGAAGCTGGCAGACTTGTCTTTACAGCGGGCCCCCTATACCAAACAGGGCCCCGCTGTTCAACTTCCGCGCTGGTTCACGTCAAGCGCAGCGACAAGGTTGGAGCTGCCAATGAACGCCAATGTCAACTCTGCTAACACGGCCCCGGCCCCGGCCCCAAAAGGAGCTGGCAACTGAGCCAAGTCGCAACATCGACATCTGAGAGGTCGTCGTTGATCGTCTTCCCGGTTGCCTTCGGACTCCTGCGCAGCTTGCATGATTTGCATGCACTGCCCCGGGAAGAACAGCAAGTTTATGCGTGGACCTCCAGACCCCACACCCCCTGAACTCCGGAACCCGTAAACTCTAATCCCAAAAGCCCTATTCTGATCATCTTACAAATATACTACTAGTATTGGATAGTCATATAATCGGCTTATTATATTGTTAGATTCCTCAAAACCCCTCAATTGCGCCACCCAGTGCACTCTCACTTGCGCCAGGGCGCCCAGAGATCGAGACGATGCCGCGGCTCAGGGTGCCCTGCTCGAGCTCCAGGTCGTACCTTCCAAGCTACGAGCTTCGGGTTTAAGGTGTAGGTTTTGGGTTTAGGGTTTAAGATTTCGGGTTTTGGGATTAGGGTTTTCATGCTGTCTAGTGTGGGGAGAGCATTGTGCGGCTGCCCCGACTGAAGTTTGCCGTTTCTGCAACGTGGTCCCATGAGGCACCCTTTTTCACGAGGGACTTGATTGCTGCCTTTACATGACCCCTAAACCCTAAACCCTAAACCCTAAACCCCCAAAACCCTTGAAACCCAGCAGTCAACCCTAACTACAGCCCCTGGACCCAGGGAGGAGAGTGCCACCGCATGTGTTTTTATATCTATACGTGCAGATACACACACATACATACATACATATAATATATATATATATATATATGTATGTGTGTGTGTATCTATATAGATGTATACTTATTTCTTTGTATGTGCATGTGGAAGTATGAATTATTAAGTGCTGGAAGTACATTGGATGTGTATGTATGTATCTATATGGGTGTGTAGATCTTATATAGATATATACAGATATAGGTTGTATATATATATATATAATCACACACACACACATATATATATATAAACATGTATCTTTTCTGAAAACCCAACATACCTCTGCGCTCAGGGCCCCGGGCTCCATCAGTGCGAACAGCTCGGCCTTGGCGCCACCGGCGTGCGCCTCGCAGGCGGTTTTTGGGGGTTCGGGGTTTTGAGTTTAGTTTAAGGGTTTAGGGTTTAGGGTTTAGGGTTTAGGGCTTAGGGTTTAGGGTTTAGGGTTTAGGGTTTAGGGTTTAGGGTTTAGGGTTTAGGGTTTAGGGTTTAGGGTTTAGGGTTTAGGGTTTAGGGTTTCGGGTCCGCCGACCCTGGCGGCGTGTTGCATGCCTTACCCCCCCAAAACCCCGAAAGGGGGGGGCGGTGGGGGGGGTCGGTGCACAATTTTGTCGTGGAGGACCGCGCCACCCGCACAGCGTAAACAGCACAGGGGTGTAGGGGCGCCCTCAGCAAAATCAGCGTTTTCAACCCCCCTCAACCCCCCCCACCCCCCCCCCACCCCAGGCTGGGATGATCTTCGAACCATGCGAGCGGGTTTAGACCTCTCAACTATGCTCCAGCGGGGTCGGCGGCTTGAGCCGGAGGCTCTTAAATTTAGGGTTTAGGGGTCAGGGGAATCAGGGGTTTCGACTCTCGCACTCGCTCAAGCAGGCTAGGAGTGATTTTGGCCGCTGACAGTGAAAGTGGGCGGGGGTTTTGGGGTGTGAAAGGTTGGTTTCTGAAAAGTAGTCGCGTGTCTGTTTTTCCAACATCGACTACTTTTCAAAACTTCAAGGTGCGGGGTTTAGGGGTTAGGTTTTTGTTGCCAGCTACAGTATATGAAACCACGATCTGCACACCCGACCTTGTAGCCCCATAGCCTTAACTATACTGATCTTGGAACCCTACCACAACAAACTTTTTTTGCTGTTTCTTAGGAAGTATAGTAATTTTAGCTGTTTCTTAAAGGGAATTCTAGTCTAGTACCCACACATAAAAAATTATTCCCCAAGAACCCCGAAGATACAACTGTCCTATACCATGGCTTCAGCCTCCGCAGAGAGCTGGACCACGACGGCAGCAGAATCCACCCTGGCGGCGGAGGCGTACTTCTCGCTCCAGAAGCACCTTGCACACTTGAAGGTTCATGGGTGTTATAAGTTGGGTTTAGGATTTAGGGTTTAGGGTTTTAGGGTTTAGGGTTTCAGGGTTTCAGGGTTTCAGGGTTTAGGGTTTAGGGTTTAGGGTTTAGGGTTTAGGGTTAAGGGTTAAGGGTTAAGGGTTAAGGGTTAAGGGTTAAGGGTTAAGGGTTAAGGGTTTAGGGTTTAGGGTTTAGGGCTACTTGAAGGTTCATGGAAGTTATAAGTAGGGCTGTAAGTAAGGCAACTGTAGGTGGTGCCTAATTTAGGGTACTTGAAACCCTACTTCTGACTACCTGTGAACCTTCGAATACGAGCGCGACGGCGACGCCCTTAGCCCGAAACCCTCGAGATCCATCCCCCACACCACCAGACCCTGGATCACGACTGCGCAGAGGCCTGCGCAGTAGAAGAAGAGTGAACCTCGTGCACACCCTAGACCCTAAACCCTTTTTGAGCACGGACTGAGGAAGCTGCCTCAACCTGATAGAACCAAAACCCTAAACCCTAAACCCTAAGAGTGCACTCCCAGCCCAGCAGAACTTTAGAGCCTTCAACAATCCTGGTATGTCCTGAGGCCAAGTGACAGATCCTCCCGCAGCTGGCGAATCTGCCAATCCTTTCAGAATAGGGTTTAGGGTTTAGGGTTTAGGGTTTAGGGTTTAGGGTTTAGGGTTTAGGGTTTAGGGTTTAGGGTTTAGGGTTTCGACTCTCACACTGGCGCACACGCTGGCGAGGCTTCGGACGAATCCAAGACAGAAGCTGCATGGGTTTAGGGTTTAGTGTTTTGGGGGGTTTAGGGTTTAGTGCCAAAGCTGCCAAAGATACTGCGCGCGCTGCTGCTCATCTAGGATGGCCGTTAAAACTGTCTGACAGAGATTCCTGAATAGGACCCTCTGCCCTAAACCCTAAACCCAAGAAGGGAAATATGAAATTTCTCCAAGGCCTACCGAGTCGTCGAAAACTCCTACAGTGCATTCGCTCTCCCCATACTTTATGTTCTAGTTCTGGATTCAATTTTTTGGGCCATGATTATGCATGTGATGATACCATGCCCCATGCCACAAGGAATCAACACAAACACCACCTCCAAGCTCTGCCCCTCTCCAAGCCCGCCCTGGGCCTGGACACGGGCCGGCAGCGGCAACGACAGCTCGCCCTGCGCTTCGGGAAGAATTTAGGGTTTAGGGTTTAGGGTTTAGGGTTTAGGGGTAGAGCCGATGTCGAGACGTACCGAAGCCAAGTTTCGAGGTAGCTTACTTGGAGCTTCATGGGTAGTTACCAGTCAGGCTCCAAGCAATGACCCTAAATAAGGTTTTCACCAGCTTTACTGATAGTTACCCTACTTCTAACCCTACTGATAAATACCCATGAACCTTCCAGTATTGTGCCCCGAGACATTGGATTTCTGGCAAGCCCTGGCTTGGGTGTCGGGTCCAGGGTTTCTTGGGTGTGGCACGGCCCCGAAGCACATGGTCGATCGACTCCTAAATCGTGTTTTCAACGCACTTTTGTGCGGTCTCGCCCGAAAACCCGAATCCTCGCGTCATGTTCAAGCTCTGACCTTGAACACTGCTTCAAGAGCACCAACTGTGACAGCTGCTGGCCTCTGGCCTAGGAGAGGTAGCCCGGCTCCTGCCAGCATGGTCCAGCGTCGAGTACGTGTCCATGCCGAAGTAGATATTTGTTCTTGGGGCTTAGGGCTTTAAACGGTCTTCTTTCTTCTTCTCTCGCCTCTATTGTCTTTTTTTTTGTTTTTCTCTCTCTCTCTCTCTCTCTCATGCATGTGCGTAGGTCTTGTCTGTATGTTCGTGCATGTGTGCAGGAAGGGCGGATGAATGTGGCACTGGGATCCGATCTAACTATATACGCAAAGGCACTGCCGGCTTTCACCGCATCATGGGAAGACAAGCTCAGCCCACCGGCCTCTGAGAACGAACGCCGCACCCGCAAACCCTAAACCCTAAACCCTAAACCCCAAACCCCAAACCCCAAACCCCAAACCCTAAACCCTAAACCCTAAACCCTAAACCGCAAAGCTCAGAACAACACGAGACATCCCAACAGCGACTGAGCCCACTTGGGCACTTGGCATCCTATCTGCCCCCCACTCCAGGACCATCCAAAGTCCGAAAGCCCCCGGGTCAACCTCAACCCTGAACCCTTCATCATGCTTGCGGTCTGGGGTTTTGGGGTTCTGGGGTTTAGGGTTTAGGGTTGGGGGTTTAGGGTTTAGGCTTTACGGTGTAGGATTTAGGGTTTAGGGTTTCGGAACTCATCCATCACCGGAGCATTGGTGACCCCTGTTTGTCCGACACGCCTGGGTGGCGTGCTCGAGGGTGCGGCCGACTGCTCCCTGGTCTTCGGGCTGCCAGGGTTCAGGGTTCGGGGTTTAGGATTTAGGGTTTAGGATTTAGGGTTTAGGGTTTAGGGTTTGCTCGGAGCCATCAGGGCTTTTTAGGGCTCAGGGGGTGTGAGTGACGGCTTGATGCCCCCCTTTCGTGCCACTCGTCGCCGCATCGCGGATTCTTGTGGAGCAACTTCGCATCAACCAACCCATCTATCTTCTTGACCCTAGGAGTGTTTAGGGTTTAGGGTCTAGGGTCTAGGGTTTTGGGTTTAGGGTTTGGGGTACATCTGTTTTCCTGCTGTGTGCCTGCGGTGTGCTCTACTGGGCGCCGCACTTCGACGTTGGAGTTGGCAAGTCTTCGGCCTCCGAGCTCGAAGGTGTAAGCAGGGTTTAGGGTTTAGGGTCTAGGGTCTAGGGTTTAGGGTTTAGGGTTTAGGGTCGGAACTCAGCCAATCAAGGGTAGTACAGGAGCACAGGAGTTAGCTGGCATGTGCAGGACGTACTCCCGTGTGCAGCTGCTGCTGATGTAGGCGTAGTTTTCGCCAACCCTAAACCCTAAACCCTAGATCCTGTTTTCCTCGGAACCCAGGCTCTGAGCAACCCTAAACCCTAAACCCTAAACCCTAAACCCTAAACCCTAAACCCAAAGCCCTGTTGCAGCTGTTGGTAGTGAACACACTGGCCTTCATTGCAGGCTCGGTGACGGCCGGGCTTTTGGATCGTGGCTTCTCCTGCTTTGCCCACCTTAGGATCTTTTGGGGCTACTAGGAGGTGCAGGGTTTAGGGTTTAGGGTTTAGGGTTTAGGGTTTAGGGTTTAGGGTTTAGGGTTTAGGGTTTAGGGTTTAGGGTTTAGGGTTTAGGGTTTAGGGTTTAGGGTTTAGGGTTTAGGGTTTAGGGTTTAGGGTTTAGGGTTTAGGGTTTAGGGTTTAGGGTTTAGGGTTTAGGGTTTAGGGTTTAGAGTAGGGATATAAGTGCCCTAAGTAGTGTCATGTTGTAGTTACCCTACTTATGACCCCACTTACAAATACCCATGAACCTCCAAGTATGGCAGTAGACTTGTATTGGGGCTGGCAGTTGCCATTAAGATTGGACCCTGAGTCTGGAATAATTGATTCTATTTGAGCAAGGCAAGGCTACAGAAACACCCTAAACCCTAAACCCTAAACCCTAAACCCTAAACCCTAAACCCTAAACCCTAAACCCTATGTTTTGCAGCGCCTCTTTGTTTCAAGCACCAGTCAGCAGCAATCTCTCAACTTGCACTTTCGGGCTGCCGTATGCTCAAGGCATCCCGGCGGTCAGAGTGTAGGCTTCCCATGCACAGAGATCGCGCAGATGGCCCAAGCCATGCAGGTTACGGAGAGCTCATGGAACCGTGAGTTGAGAAAAGTCCGGCGGTTGCGACAAGCTCATGCCCGACAGCAGGACAAGATGTTGATATGCAGCCTCAAAGAGCGGGTTTTACACCTCGGACTTGAACTTCATCAGGTTAAGAGCCTTGCGGCTCACGCTGAGACAGGGGTGGTGGGCAATGGCGACATAGACAGCGTGAGATTGAATGTTGGACGAGGACGAGGTGTGCCGGGGGGAGGCAGGAGGACACTCCAGATGATGGATTATGAACATACGCAAGCAATCGCTCCGGAATCAGTCGCTTGCCGAGGTACACCTGCATCACAAGAGTCAGCCGTTCTGAAGCGAAAGCAAGCCGAAGCACCTTCGGTACGGAGCTCTGGGGTTCAGACTGTGACGCAGGATGTCCGCCGACATGGTCAGACGTACCTGGTGCAACCTCTGCGTGATAACCTGTGGACATGGAAGGAAGCCGCGATGTCACTGACGGAAGCATCATCTCCATTCCTCGAGAGCTTTTACTACAACATGCATGGAGACGGATGGGACGGTAGCGCAAGACAGCACGGCGAGTTCTACATAGGATCCGATAGTGATAGTGAGGAACAAGAAGGCCTTTCGATGGAAAGATCTGAGGCCAGCGCTGGTGGCTACGGCTAGGGCGGCGGGGGCTGATGATGCACTGCAAGTGATTTCGCAGGCCTCGCCCTGCGGTCTGCGAAACGGGGGGTGTTTTGCAGCGCCTCTTTGTTTCAAGCACCAGTCAGCAGCAATCTCTCAACTTGCACTTTCGGGCTGCCGTATGCTCAAGGCATCCCGGCGGTCAGAGTGTAGGCTTCCCATGCACAGAGATCGCGCAGATGGCCCAAGCCATGCAGGTTACGGAGAGCTCATGGAACCGTGAGTTGAGAAAAGTCCGGCGGTTGCGACAAGCTCATGCCCGACAGCAGGACAAGATGTTGATATGCAGCCTCAAAGAGCGGGTTTTACACCTCGAACTTGAACTTCATCACCCTAAACCCTAAACCTTAAACCTAAACCCGCAGCCCGTCGCCCTACGGCCGCCTGATCTGAATCTGTGGCCTGCGCTCATTTCATAAAAACCTGCAATCAAGGCAGCGAGGCGCCCGGCGACGGCCCACAGACCAAGAGATGACTTCGGTGCTGCCCACGAACCCTAAACCCTAAACCCTGAACCCTAAACCCTAAACCCTAAACGCTAAGCCCTGATTCAGGGGCCCGGGCGGAGCAAGGCGTGTTGGACTTCGGGGTGGCTGCCCAGGCACCAGCTGACAAAACTTCAGGCTGCGTGGTGCTTCTCAGCATACCCTAAACCCTAAACCCTAAACCCTAAACCCTAAACCCTAAACCCTAAACCCTAAACCCGAAACAGGCGTTTAAGGCATCTTGCTATGTAATCCTTGGGCCTCGAGCCTCGAAAAAACTTAAACTAGGGCTCAGAGCTTCACAAAGCCTTGTAGCCAATCACGGAAGCTTTGCCATATACTATAATAATATATATAATATAATATAATAATATATATATAACATAATAATATATATAATATAATAATATATATATTATAATAATAGAACAAGGCAGCAATGTAATGAGGCAACAAAACATGTTGAGATTTTTGAACGAATATAAACGTATAGCATATGCGCGCCCGTCTAAACGCTATTCAAAGGGTGATGGAAGGGTGGGGGGACTGTCGCTTTTCCGGTGGCCCCGTCGCTTTTCAAGGTTTTTTGGCTTGCGTTTGATATACTGAATGCTGCAAACCCTTCCCACGATAGTGATGGAGTCTTCGAAGCATCCCGCTCAGACCGTGCAATCCCTGGGGTACCAGCAAGAGGATCAGGCTTTGGGATGCTTTTGGGGTGTTTGAGGCTTTCGGGTTAACCCTCAACCCTCAACCCTAAACCTTTTTTTACGGCCAACCCTAAACCCTAAACCGTCAACTTCGGGCTGTTCGGTCCGCCTTTGCACGGCTCGAAGGGCTGGTCATCTCCGGGACGACGTGCGGCAGGAAACACGACTGCCCCGCGCCCTGAGGACGTGGCTCGTGTAGGTTGGGAGGTACGTACCATGAGTAGTGGGGTTGCGGCTGCTGTGCTTGGTGAGCCATGACTTTTTGGGTCGTGGCTTTGGTAAGGGAATCTACGCCCGCACACAACAAACAAGAAACACAACAAACAAGAAGGGGAAATCAGGGTACTTACTACTGGGGAAGCTCGAGTTTGAGTGCGGCCGGGACCCGTTCGAAATGTCGACTTGCTCGCAACTCAGATGGCCCCAAAGCACCCCAAAAGAACCTGCATATGGACCGTTTCAAGTTTTTCTCCTGCTATGTGGGGCGGCTTTCCCCATACTTCGAAGCCGTAACTGTGCGCGCATGTTCCGCCTCCCCATTGTAAAGTGGTAGGCACCAAGTCAAACACTACAATTACAAGCCATGATTGGGTGCATGTTGCTGCCATCTTGGTGGCAGGCCCGCCCGGCTCAGAAGGGAGATACAACGATGCAAGACTCTTGCGGCTCTCTTACCGGATCGCTGTTGGAGACTCGGCGCGTGGACGAGAACACTGCGTGATGGATCTGCTGTGGGGCAAATCGAATGCAAAACTCAAAGCTCTCCTGGGTTGAAGGTTTCAACTTGGGATGTTCCCCCTTCTACTACGTAACAGTCCTGAATAGGAATACTCGAAGAGTCCCTGTTAAGGACGGTTAGTATAGCGGGAAAAATCCCAAGTTTAAACCCCTGACATCATCTTCAAACCCGCCAAAAACTTGCGAAGAAACCTATAGGACCCAGACCCCAAAACCCCGAAACGCATCTTGCGCGCCCAAAAAAACTCTGCGCAGCACAACTGGAATGCGTGATACAGGGGCCTTTAATAAATAGAATTAGCTTTGGGTGGTGTTCTTATGATATAATTATAATTAGGGAATAAGTTGTTTTTTTTCTTCAGGGGGGGGGGTATTTTCGTATAGCCATATATAGGGACCATGAGGGAATTCTATTCGTAACTCTTCCGACCCATGTAAGTGGCCTCTTTTTCGGCTGCCTGCTCGGCCTCCAGCTCAGCCTTCTCCTGTCCGCGAGTTTTTTCAGGGTTCAGGGTTCAGGGTTTAGGGTTTAGGGTTTAGGGTTCAGGGCTTAGGGTTCTCGAGGCGTGTGGGGCCTCTGCGCCTTATGCTCTAGGTGACTCCCCCTGCCCCCCCCCCCCCCCCCCCCCCCCCCCCCCATGTGGATGTGGGGCGGTTTAAGGTTAGGGTTTAGGGCTTCTGGCTTAGGGCTCTATAGCTTTCTAGGAGTTGCCGTTGCGGGCTTAGGGCTTTCGTAATTTAGGGCTTACAGGGTTGGAGGGCAGAGGTCAGCCCTTAGGGTCAACCCCGAAACCCGACACCCTGCCACTCCAGACTATTCAAAACATTCAAAACCCTGACCCTCAGCGTTCACCTGCCCACCCTACAGGACCATACCATACCACGGGCGCCCCCAGCCCTCCGGTTCACCATCCTCGAACGCGTCGTCACTTTTGGAGCCTCGTGTCCTCCTCGCGATCCAGAAGGCACCGCAGTTTACGAGGATGTACGGAGGATGCCCCCGCCCCCCTCCATGAAACAGCCCTAAGCCTAAACCCTAAACCCGAAAAAACCCGCCCACCATACAAAGGAAACTGCAACCTAGGATGGCCCTTAAAAACCCCTGTGAACAAATATTCCTGAGTATGATCCTCTTAAACCCCAAAAAGTGAAAAAATATTCCTGAGTATGATCCTCTTAAACCCCAAAAAAGGTGAAATTATGAAATGTCCCAAGGGCTTATACCTAGCAACTCAAAAACGGAATGAAGAGGGAAATATGAAATGTCCCCCAAGAACCTACCTGGCAACTCAACTCCGATGGCGCCTTCAGGAGCTCCGCGAGCTGGGTGTCGACATCCTGTCGCTGTTAGAGGCAATTTGTGCTCTTTGGGGCCACGTGCCGTTTTGAGGGATCTAGGGTTTAGGGTTTAGGGTTTAGGGTTTAGGGTAGGGAGGGCTGGGTTTCTATGGGTTAACGCCTCAAAGGTAGTGTCTCTGCGATCTAACTGATGATGCAAGTGCTGGGGTGTTTGGCCCCTTACTAAGCCCTAAACCCGTTTTTGCAACGGGCTTTTGGGTCCGTCCGGCTGAAGGGAGCAACCCCCCGGACCAATGTACTGCTGACATCACGCCGAGTTCAGCAGCTCCAAACTCTGCATCTTTGAAGCCCACCACTAACTGACGACTGAAGACACTAGCAAGTACTGAAAATCCTTGAACACGCTGTCGGAGAGCTGGTGCAACTCATGATGAGCCTCCAGAACCCAGTCCCGGAGCTGTATATCTATGAGAAGCCCCGTGCCCTAAACCCTAAACCCTAAACCCTAAAAACCCTAAACCCCTAAACCCTGTGTGCCCTAATCCCCCAAACCCAACGCCGGGAGTCCGCGGGGCCTCAGAATGCCCACGGAGCTGCGCCAACTCCTCCAAAGCAAGAAGCCTAGGGTTTAGGATTTAGGGTTTAGGGTTTAGGGGCTAAGGCTAGGGTTCTAACGGAGGCTTTTGAAGGATGAAGGCCCCTTGAAGGTAGATAACACCGCGCTAGAGGGGAGCTCAAAGGAATGAGAGCCTGCAGTTGCGGTATATGGGTGTCTTCCGTTTGGCGGTCCCTTTAAGGAGATTCTATTCTCCCCTACTTTTGAAATACCCATATGGAACCTAAACCCGAAACCCTGGTAGGGTTCATTCAGTCCCCAATCCGAAGAGCCCAAAACCTCTGAAATAAGGAATATACCTTCAATCATACAGGGGATCCTTAATATGATTTAAGGTATGCATTGAAATAAGGAATATTCCTTAATATGATTTAAGGTATGTATTTTAAGAAGGAATATACCTTAAATCATACAGGGATCCTTCATGTGATTTAAGGTCTATTCCTCATTTCAGGGGTGTTGGGCTCTCCGGGAAGTTTAGTTGCCCAATGCCCTGGCTTTAAAAAATCTAAACGCTTCTTTTAGTAGGGGTTTAGGGTTTATATAGGGTTTAGGGTTTAGGGTTTAGGGTTAGTATTAAAGTTCACCTATTGAGCTCCTAGGGAAGGACCTCCCCTGTCCTTCTCCACTGCTGCTTTGGACTCGACCTTCTTGATCTGGCTAATGGAAGGCCTTGGGTTTAGGGTCTAGGGTCTAGGGTCTAGGGTTCAGGGTTTAGGGCTTAGGGTTTAGGGTTAGGGTTCAGGTTTCAGCGGAATGAAAACATCTGAGGCTTCTGGGGCGAGATGGGCGCGCTTTTGCCTCTGTCCTGCATCCGCCTTAAATGGGAGTTTACGAAAATAGGGGACCCCTCTATTAGGCCCCCCAGATCCTTATAATAAGGACCCCAATACGGTACCCCTAATTTCGGAAACCCCCTAAACCCTGAACCCTAAACCCTAAACCCTAAACCCTAAACCCTAAACGGCAGTTCACGGTTGCGGGATCCAGGATGGCAACAGACGTCTTGAAGAGATTTTGGGTTCTTCGTGCAGCTTCTGACAGATGAAAATGGCAGCCGTTGTCTGCCGAGACAAGTTTTAACTCTGAACCTGAGCCCTAATAAGCGTGGCGTGTGGCGTCTCCCCACGCTTCAGTCGCTCTTCAATCTCCTTGATGTCTGCAAGCTTCTTTTCCAGCCGCGTGATCCTTTGCTTACAGTACAGCTCGAGCGGGCTCCAGGGTGTGTTGCTCCAAGCACATCTCGTTCGGTTGGCGGGGAGATGAAGCTTGCGGATTGCGGCAAAGGATCTGATCCGAACCGTCCTGATTGGTGGTCTCGTCAGCTGCTTCCTCAGCTCCCAGAGACAAAGGGAGTAATATAGGGGCCTGAATAATCAGGATACGGGAGGATTATAGTATAATTATAAAGGGACCATAAGGGAATACTACTAGCAATTATTCCGACCCCTATATTAAAAAGTTGAAGGGTGCATCCGTTCAACTGTGGGGGTGTATGAGCACAGGGGAACCCCCAATATAGATCCCCCAAGTAGGGTGCCCTTATAATAAGGACCCCAATAAGGTACCCCGAAGTTTCGTAAACCCCCCACATGTTACAATGTTGAGACACCTTGGCGAAGCTTCCGGTAAGGTGACTAGATGAACAGCCAGGCAGACACGACTCTTTAAAAGGCTTTTCCAGCGTCCACATGCCCTTGGCCAGCTTTATGGGCCCCCACGTCAGACCTGTAAAGGGAAGATGCCCACCCCACTTGGAGTTTCATGGGTAGTTCGAAGTAGGGTTCTAAGCACCCTAGGTCAGGTCATTGCTATAGTTGCCGTACTTATATCCGTGCTTATCTACCCATGAACCTTCAAGTACATCGTACCAACAGCAACAGGCCCGCTGCATGTCATGTGTGTGCCCATGTGTTGGTCGACTTTCAAGACGATCTTGGTACCCCAGTAACCGTATTATGATAAGGGCACCCTTTTTTGGTTGGTTAATAAGGGAACCTTGAACACAAAAACAAAGGGAAAAGGGTACCACTGGCCTTCACCCACGCACTGTGTGTCTCGGAGTCTACTGTACTTACTTCTCCAATAACCAAGGGGAACAAAAGGTTAAACTTTAGTATTCCTACTAAATAAGGAAACCCAAAAAGATTAAAGTTCAACTAAAGGCGAAGTAAGTGTAGCAGCCTGCCCGAAGGCGGAAGCTGCAAGTCCAGAAACATCTCTTCATCGCAGAAGCCGCACTGGATGCATGCCAAGTGCACGCTGATAAATTAGGGTTTAGGGTTTAGGGTGCTTAATTAGGGCTCAGGGTTTAGGGTTTAGGGTGACACAAAGCCACCCCTCCTCAGTCAAATCCAAGAAAATCAGGCAGCTACGGCTCCATAAGGATCAGGCCTCGCATTGCCAAATTCCCTGACGAGAAGAGACACGAAGGTCAAACTTTGGGATGTTCCCCCTTGTACTAGCAGTCCTCAGTAGGATTATAGTACCCCCTCTTGTAATCCCTATTAAGGAGCTGCTAGTAAAAAGGGTGAACATCCCAAACCCTAAACCCTAAACCCTAAACCCTAAACCCTAAACCCTAAACCGAAACCCCAAACCCCAAACCCCAAACCCTAAACCCTCAACCCTACACCCAACCAGGGGGAACTAACCAGGTAGAAGAAGGGGGAACATCCCAAGGCAAACTCCATCCGTCATTGCGGCCGCGGCTCTTCGAAGTAGTGCGAGCTCGATGGCGAAGCCGGGCGCGGGGATGTAGGCCTGGCCGGAATTTGTGTGGGGTTTAGGGTTTATAGGGCTTAGCGTAATTCTAAACCCCTAAATATGAGGCGTGACCCCACCCCACGCAATAGGAGGCAAATAGAGCCCCAGGTTCTTCTACAAATTCGGGACGCCTCAAACTCAGAGGGCTGAAATAGAATGGGGACCCAAGAAGGAAAAATGATTTATCTATCTACAAGACCATGCCTTCAGTTTCGACATGAAGTGGCAACGTGCCCTGGAGGTTTGCGGGGTTTGAAGGCTTCGGCGCCTCGACGCTCACGAAGCGATTGGGGCGGTCTAAGTCTGAAGAGTCGAGGGTTTTCAGTACAAAGCTGACACATAAGAACCTAAACGCCGAAACGCCAATTAAAGGTTGAACACAATGGCTTGCCCATTTCCGGGTCTATAAGTCAGGTTCCCAAGCGCCCAATCACCCTGCACCAAAACACCGCAAAGCCAGTGTATAAACCCTAAAACCAGCGAGCCCAATACCCCTAATTAAGGAGAATTTACCTTAAACTATAAATGGCTCCTTATTACTCCATATTATGATTTGAGGAATATCCCTTGATTAAGGTGTATTGGGCTCTTCGGGAACCAAGTTGTCCCCCTACTACCCCCCTCTATACTACCCCCCGTTTTTCCTAGGTTTCCCCTTAAATGACCTCAATTCGGCTTCATCCTCCCTAGATAGCTCGAACTATGGGGGAACGTAGGGGGGGTAGTCTCCCTAAACCCGAAACCCTGAACCCTACTCCCTACAGCATAGAGGGGGGAGGTAGTAAGGGGAACCCATGCTGCGTGCAGCTCGGGCCTCCTAAACCCTAAACCCTAAACCCTAAACCCTAAACCCTAAACCCTAAACCCTAAACCCTAAACCCTAAACCCTAAACCCTAAACCCATGATAAGTGGACCTCGGGCCTCGGGCTCACCAGCCGAGGCCCGCGGCCTTGCCCCTGACCGCGGCCCCCGCGGCCCCAGCCCATGGCTCCCAGGATCAATTCAGGAATTGGGGGATGTTTAGGGTTTAGGGTTTAGGGTTTAGGGTTTAGGGTTTAGGGTTTAGGGTTTAGGGTTTAGGGTTAGAAAACTTCTCTTTCTTGCTTTCCTGTTTGGAGGGGAGGGCGGTTTTGAGTTGAAAGGTTTGGCGTGCGAGCCTTTGGTGAAAGAACACAAAACCTTTGAGGCCCCTGAAACCCCCAGCCCCGAACTCTAAAGGATGTACACTTTAAACCCTAAACCCTAAACCCTAAACCCTAAACCCTAAACCCTAAACCCTAAACCCTAAACCCTAAACCGGTTCAGGCTGAGAAATCAAAGCAAGACCGCGGCGGTTCTACGGAAGCCTCCAGCTTCGAGGTTCAGGTCTGCGCAGGGTGCAAGAGCTCCATGGTAGAGGACCCTAAACCCTAAACCCTAAACCCCAAACCCTGAACCCTGAACCCTAAACCCCAAACCCCAAACCCCAAACCCCAAACCCCAAACCCTCTCAACCCCAAACCCTAAACCCCAAATCACTAAATATTGCGGAGTGGCATGGTCCAGGGGTTTGGGCGATGCTCGGACTTTGAGGCTGCACGTAGGGCTCAGGGATTCAGAGTGTTTAGGGTTTAGGGTTTAGGGTTTTTGAGTTTCGGGCTCAGGGTTCAGGGATTTAGGGCAAGTGGTTAAGGTTCAGGGTTTAGGGTTTAAGGATTTAGGGCTCTTGGTTCAGGGCTTAGGGTTTAGGGTTTGGGGCCAAAGTTTAGGGGTTTGGGTTCAGGGATTTAATGAAGGCTCTTGATTCAGAGTTGGGGGCTGAATTTAGGCACAGCGCTCAGGGTTCAGGTAGGCAAAAGCTCGAAAGGACCCCGAAGGTGCCGGTCAACAGTCGGCAACATCTGGGGAGGTCGATTTGGTACGCTTTTCAAAAAAATGGGGAGTCTGTAGTATGTATTTCTGTCGGTCTGGCCGCAATCAGTGCCGTCCATTGCAAATCACCTTGCGCCGAGGGCATCGCGAAACCCTCATTGCGCACCCCACATCGCCCAATCTCGCCCAAAACGCCAGAAAGCTCCTTCGCACATGGGGACTCCGAAACCCTAAACCCTAAACCCTAAACCATCATGGGGATGGACTCTGCTTTTCTTTCCATCGTCCGGCCCACGCTTTCACGTCCCAGTATGTGATGTCGCAGACGTGGCCCTCCTGGGTGTAGCCGTGTAACCAACAGGCTCCTGGGGCTCTCTTCGCTAAGGCCGCTCAGGGATGTGGGGGCCTCTAGAGCATTAGGGGGGTTTAGGGTTTAGGGTTTAGGGTTTAGGGTTTAGGGTTTAGGGTTTCGGGTTTTTCTGGCCACCTCATGGGGGGAAAACTCACAAGCGACAAGGACTTTATGAAGCTCTTCCCAGGGTCTGGATTTGTGGGACACGCGGATCCAAAGGCCCTTGTGTGCATCTGCTTGGAGTGGATGGCCTCGGCCGACTTTGGCGACCTCCCCACCGTCGAAGCTTGGCTGCTCGAAGAGGGTGCAGTCGCTGTGCCGAACTTGCAAAGATGCAGAGAAGGGGTACACGGGCTGATCTTCAGAGATCTGCTCCATGTTCTGACAGCGGCCCAGTCGCGCACTCTGCTCCAGCAGACGCCCAGTTTCGCTCACCCACTCCAGCGTCTCTTCTCGCATCCACGCGTGCGAAGTCCAGGGAGCCGTCTCAGCCCAACTCCGGAAGCTTCGCAGCAGATCCGACCCACTTAGGTACAGGAAGAGGCGCGCAGCTGTGGGCACGGCGCAGGCGGAGGCAATGGTCTTCATGGTGCAGCGAATGATCTGCTGGACACCCCCCCTGTCATCATCATCTTCCTCCAGGGCCTGCTTGATGGCGGGGATGAACCTGCCATCATACATCTCGGCCCAGCCGGCATGGGCTGACCCATCAGGGTCTTGCAGAATCCGGATGTGGCTCCGCAGCTCCTTCAAAAACAACAGGAGCTGGGAAGCTTCCAGCTGCTTCTCAACGTAGCTTCTTACGTCAGTCAACAGCAGCGTCGCAGGTATGGAGCTCCCAGAGACCCATGTGAACATCGCATTGCAGATGCTCAATGGCTTGTCGGCCTCCAGGACGTGACCTGACAATTATCGGGATCTAGGTTTTCTTGTTCGTGTTTCTTTCTGTTTTTTGTCTGGTATTTTTCATTGTTTAGGGTTTAGGGTTTCGGGTTTAGGGTTTTCACCTAAAACCATTAAAGAAAAAAAGGAGGCAAAAACACATAAAAAGGACCATCAGCACAATTATCGCGTGCTCAGCTGCCCTGCCCGAGCTCCGACCTACATAGACCTAAACCCTGCCCTAAGCCCTAAGACTGCGATCCTCCGGTTATGGACATGCCAGGTTGCCGAAGCCTCCGTGCTTGTGCGGCACATATTGTGCCTGTGCCAAGAGGAGTTGTGGTGAAGGGTTGTCTGATGAGAGGGCTTAGGCGACTCATGTTGACTGGGCTCAGGCAATCTCAAAAAGACCCTACACCCTAAGCCCCAAACCCTTTTTTGAGTCCGGACTCTGCTCAAGGAAGCCTCAAACCCTGAACACAGTGGGTTTGATTTTGGTCACCCAAAGCCAGAGCGACCTTCCCAAGCAATCTTATCTCAATGCCCATGCCTCGAACAAAGAGCTCTGCTGCAATCCCAAAGCCCTGAACCCAAAAGAGCAAAACCGAGCCGGCTCAAAACATATTTCTGCATCTCCACCACCACGGCAAGCAGACTCACCCCCCCCCCCCCCGCTAGCCCCCCCAACTCATACATCCAAACATCCGCAATCGAACGAAGAAGATATCAGTAAAGGGAGGCCATCTCGACTTCTGTACTAGACTAGTGCATACATCCGGCGAGTCCTGCAAAGAGCTGAGGACGGAGGCTTCCAGTCGCGCCTGACCGCAAGGCTGCTGGCTTTCGGGATGCCAGGTTTCGGGTGCGACGGTTTTTAAGCGTTATAGAATAGGGACTCCAAACCCCGAACACAGGATACTCAAAGCATTGATGATGGCCGGGTGTTCTTTCGTCGCCGCCTGTTTTTGCTTACGGGGTTCTGCATACTGAGCCTTACTGTATCGGCAGTCGCGCCAGCCGCACGCGGCACGCACCTGAAAGAGCGAACCATTCTGAGAACTCCAGTCCCTCGACCATTGGCCTCCAGCCCTTGATCCCAGCTGAGAAACCTGTAAATTCTTCGAACCCCCTTTCAACCGCACAAGGTGGCCTCGTAAGTTCCGAAGCAGGTCAGCAGCAAGGGCCGTGCCATAGCAAGCAACTGAACCTAAGCAGGAAATGCTGCGGCCAGCTTTGTGGCAGTTGATCTTCTGAAGGGTTGCATCGTTTGGGTATCAGTCTGGAAGTTCCACCCTAAACCCTGTTTAAGCACGGACTGAGGAGGCTGCCGGCAACACCTGCAAGCAAACCCTAACCCTAAACCCTAAACCCTAAACCCTAAACCCTAAACCCTAAACCCTAACCCCCTATATGAAACTCGGGAGCAGGCCAGGGTCTGAATCCAGGGCTTCATATGCACGGGCACACTTGCACCGAGACCTCTTTCAGGGTTCAGACTCGCTACGACTCGTTGACGACTCGCTGTTTAGGGTTTAGGGGTTTAGGGGTTTAGGGGTTTAGGGTTTAGGGGTTTAGGGGTTCAGGGGTTTAGGGGTTAAGGGGATAGGGTTTTTAGGGTTTAGGGTTTAGGGCTTAGGGCAAAAGACAGGAGATCAGCCATTGAATCATGTCAATGGTCACTGGATCTCCCCTACAACCACAGCCGGCTGCCGGGCCTGAGTTGAATGCGCAGATGAAGGTGGGGTGCTGCAGGTGCTCGGGCAGCACGGCTTCGTGCGCGAGGCACGCAAAGGTGTAGACCCGGATGCCAGAGTGGGTCAGGACTGCCTTCGAAAAAGAGAGAGCGGTGTGGGCTGCATCCTACCTCTGGAGTAAACCCTGGAAAAAAAGTATATACTTTTTAGGTATAAGTAGCTGCAATGAGAACCCTAAACCAAAAAAAGTATTAAAGTATAGTACTCCAAAGCCCAGGCATGCAGGCCGACAAGACCTAACGAGTTCGGGAACAGACAATCAGCTACCAGCACAGTGGAAGCTCCGACTGAGGAACAACCCAGCAATGCCGAACGTGCCAGGCAGAGAGTCGGGTTTAGGGTTTAGGGTTTAGGGTTTGGGGTTTAGGGTTTAGGGTTTTTTTTGTTAGGGTTTAGGGACTGCAAGCAACAGCGACCTCCTGAACTGGCAATAGGCTGGGTCGCTTTGGCTTTGGTCGCGAGCTTCTATAACAGAAGGAACAAGCCTGCCGGCAGACCCAAACTTATTTGCCCTCGCACCTCAAGGTGCGCGGCACAACTTTTCGCGCCTTGTCCTCACTCATCTCGGGTCCAACAAGAACCTGGGAAACCCCGGGCCCTAAACACCCATCTCGGGTCCAACAAGAACCTGGGAAACCCCAAGCCCTAAACCCTTATCTGCTGGCTTTGGCCCGAGACTCAGCTCCTGGTGACAATCTACTTTCTTCGCTGCCCGGGGCCCAGCACCCCATCATTGGGAATGATATGCTTATGTGGGGATTTTCGTGCATCAAAGATTCGTATAAGAACCCAGATACGAATATAAATTCGTGAGGAACCCTTCGCTCCCACCATCTCTCTGGGCAACAGTCGCACCCCAGCGCTCGGAGAACCAAGACACGGTAAGAACCACGGTATCTTCAGCATCTTGGAAAGTTTGCTGGGTGGTTACTGCGGGGGCGTTCATCATCAGAATAAGATTTTGGCGAAATTATAGACTACGTACTGCGACCATAAGGGAACAATATTTGTAACTATTCCGGTCCCCCAAAAAGACATCCTGGTCTGTTGAAGCCACTTGGCAAGTCTCAGGCAGGGCTTAATTCCAAGGCTTATGCTGCCTCGAAGACCCCGGAATCCATCCTAAACCTGAACCCTAAACCCTAAACCCTAAAACCTAAACCCTAAACCCTAAACCCTAAACCCTAAAACGTCTTGTTGTCAAGTTTGCCTGAAGCGCGCACCTGCCGGAAACCACAGGACTCAGACCAACCAGTTCCCTGAAAACCAAACCCCCTACAGGCCCTAAGGGCCCCAAACCCCAAACCCTAAACCCGCACTGAGCCCCAAGGCCACGTCCCAGCCAACTTCCAATGACTGGAAGAGCCGCGACCATCCTCCTTCGGCTTGGGGCTTTCATTAAGGCCTCCGCATGTACTTGAAGGTTCATGGGTAGTTAGAACTAGGGTTAGAAGTACCCTACATAAGGTTAGAACTATAGTTATCCTACTTCTAACCCTACGTATAACTATCCGTGAACCCCCAAGTAGCCCTAAACCCCAAACCCTAAACCTTAAACCCGAAGCCCTATATCAAGCCCTTTTGAACCCTAAACCTAACCCCTAACTAAACCCGTTTTGGACCCTTCAGCCTCTCCTTGAACGATTTGGCGCTTCTCGATGCCATCACGGGCTCCGAGGACCCACATCACCTCAAGCAGACCCTAGCATGCGAGTCGAACAGCTCGATAAGGAGGAACGCTCTTTGAGATTTGGGTGTCGTGGAGCTTGGGGGGACTTGAGCGCTGAAACAAACCCTGACAGGGAGCCCTATAGTAAACAGAGCCAGGCAGGTAAGCCTCTCTTGGCAAGCCCTTCCCGCCCGTAATCCTAAAGTATCTTTGGCTCCCAGCCTCAACCCTAAGTGCACCCCAACACGAGCCCCAGACCCGAAAGATCCCATCCGGAATTCGGAATCAGCACACCCCAATCCCTAAACCCGAAACCCGCAACCCGCAACAACAAAACCCTGAAATGCAACGACAGCACGCAGCGCCCGTTGACGGGCTCGAGTCCTCAGCTCCGGAACCCGTGCGCGCCAACAAGATGGAAATAACAGATGGCATTTTGCTCAAAAGAAAAAATCAACTTAAGACCCTTAATCTTATTCCCTCTATAACCCCTATATAACCCTTACAGAGTCCTTAAGAAGGGTCCCGCCGTTAGTCCCTTGATCAACTGAACTCCTGCAAACACCTTGCAGCCTGGCTCATTAAACCAAGCACGCCCCACCCTGGCAGGATCGATCTCTCAGCCCACAAGGCATTCCATAGCCTCTATTGCGCAAGCCCTTGTGCATCCCCTCAGGCAGACATAGACATGTGGCAGTCCCTCCCCTGCCCCGCCAACCACATGGGGGTTTCCCAACATAGGGGTACCCTTTTTGGGGGTTCCCTTGACAGGATTGACAAGTATTTTGGGGTATATAAGCCCTAAACCCTAAACCCTCAACCCTAAATCCAAAACCCTCTCCCCTAAACCCTATTCCCAAACCCTATTTTCGGAAGTCCCCACACCTTGACGGCAATTCAGAACCAGGCTCGAGCGGAGGCCGGCAAGCTCTGAAGCGCCTCACCGGAGCAGGCCCTAAACCCTAAACCCTAAACCCTAAACCCTAAACCCTAAACCCTAAACCCTAAACCCTGTGCAGATGCCGGGGGCTTCTCAGGGTGGCCGCCTTGTCCTCCTAGTGCTTCCTCCCTCTGCAGGCTGCCCGGCATCTTTCTGACTCTTTCGTCGCTGTTTTGTGGTAGAGTTTGTAGCGATGCTATGACCTGCATTAATCCTGAAGTTTAGGGTTTAGGGCTTATAGGGTTTATAGGGTTTATAGGGTGTATAGGGTTTAGGGTTGAAGCCACGTTTAGGGTTTAGGGTTTAGGGTTTAGGGTTTAGGGTTTAGGGTCACGGAAAGAATTCCCCAGGACGGCACACCGAACAAGCGCCCGCAGCCTGCCTCCAGCGTTGCGAGGCCGAAGCACTGGCGATACTTCACTCTCTCCACCTCGCACAAGTGAGCCCTTTTTGCTGCCCCAAACCCTAAACCCTAAACCCTAAACCCTAAACCCTAAACCCTAAACCCTAAACCCTAAACCCTAAACCCTAAACCCTAAACCCTAAACCCTAAACCCTAAACCCTAAACCTTAGCAAAGCCCTTCTCTAGGACCTAGGTATAGCTTCTGACGCGTCAGCCTGCAAGTCAGATTGAGAACCACCCTGGGTTTAGGGTTTAGGGTTTAGGGTTTAGGGTTTAGGGTTTAGGGTTTAGGGTTCCTGCCTGTTCCTTTGTCGATGCGCCTTGCTCGGTGAAGTACTCCTCGCTTGAAGCGTAAGGCAAAGCGCCATCAAGGCCACTTCCCAAAGAGCCCACTACCTCTTAAGCAAGGAATATACCTTAAATCATATAGGTATCCTTAATATGATGTAAGGTATATTCCTTATTTAAGGGGTATTGGGCTTTCGGGGTGATATAGCCATGAATCATGAATGCGGGTCCACCCCACATGCCCTACTGAAACATCACAGGGACAGCTTGAGTGCAAGATCATGGGTAGTGGCCGGTAGTTCAGGCATGGGCATCTGCAACGGTACCAAAGTGAGCACATGCGCATGTACTCCCTCTCATGTACATTTCCAAGCTCCTGCCAGCCCCGTGCAGTAAATGGTTGCAGCTCGTGCCGGAGGTCATGAGACGAGGGAGCTGGAGCAACCTTGTGCCGTCGGAGTTGTAGGGCTTTATAGGCTTAGACAATCACCCCTCAACCCTGTAAGGCCGGTCTGCGCGCCATGCCGGCAGAGATGCACGCAGGGTCATCTCCCAACTCCTAAACCCTAAACCCTAACAGCTCATGCCTAACATGGGGTCGACGGCTTGAGCACTGGCTTGGCAACCCGGGCTGCGGCGCAGCAGCAGCTGAGCAGTTTTGTGAATCCGCAAGAACCCACTGGAATATCATGGAGCCGGCATCTCATTCAACGAAGACTCCCAATCCAGAATCAGTCTCCCTAGCAGGTGAGGTCTTGCACTGGATTTGCACAGGCGAGCCTATACAACTATCTAATCCGCTTCAGGACAAGGCACCGAGGCGGTGGCCAGGCCCGTGTTGCAGCTTTGCTTGTGCTGCGGCCAGTGTTGCCGCTGGCACGGAGCCTAGGTGCGTCCATGCTCAGAGCGGGCTCAGCGACGACTTCCTATAATCGAATGACAGCAACACGACTGACGAATCCCAAGTTGCAGTCTTTTATTCATGCGAGCAACATTTAGATCCATCACAAATCCCTAAGCCGAAGCTGGACGCCTCGAAGGTCTCAAACGCGAAACATCTCATCATCATGTTAAAGCCCCTTGAAACTTGACCCCGGTCTGCGAAGGAGCACGGCTGCTAATGTCCGCCATCACTTGTTCATTCTGGCCTTT